CATGTAACCCCTACGGAAAACAGTGTGGAGAACTCTTAAAAAACTAAGAATGAACCTACCATATGACCCGGTTATACCACTCCTTGGCATATACCCAAGGACTCATCCTATTGTAGAGACACTTGTACAACCATGCTTGTTGCTGCCCATTTCACAATAGGTTGCTTCCATATCATAGGTAAGTGCCCCTCAACTGAGGAGTGCTTAACAAACATGGTACACTTACACATGGAGTTCTACTCAGCGGTAAAGCTGAAATAATGAAATTTTCAGGTAAATGGATAGAACTAGAAACTGTTATACTGAGTGAAGTAACAGACAAGAGACATGTGTTCTCCCTCATTTGTGCAGCCTAGCACCAAATCCTTATAAGTGAGTATATACCCTGATGTAACTGCAGGAAGCAGGAAAATGGAAGGAAACCAGGGAGGTAAAGGGAAAGAAGGAACCTGAGAGAGATTAGTAGGAGACAGGAGTTTCTAAGGGAGAAATGTGTAAAGGGGAGGGGAGAAGGAGGGCTGTCCGAAGAACTGTGGGCATAAAGGGGAAGAAGGAGCTCAGGAGAGGCGGGACCACAGCAGGCAGGAATTATCAAGGGAGAAATGGGGACAGTTCAAATGGGAAGGGTGGGGAAGGAGGATAAGATGAAGGGAGATAGAATGCCTAGCTAGTGTAAGAAGCCAGAGGGAATCGTATTAGTCCAAAAATCCTACTGAAAAATTACACATGCAGTATCCCTATGTGAGTCTGTGAGCACAGCTGAAGGGTACATAACAGTATCAGACAGGAGAAATCTTTGAGTTATTGGCCAGGGTAGTCTTAGAGGCTCTCCAAACCACACTGGCTATTGCCACAGTCCTCAATTGCCTCCCAGAACTTGAAGGTAAGGTCCTATTGCTGAAGACGGGACATACTTTGGACACAGGATTTGGAGCAATGGAGCTAGAACCGACCTGGAAGCCACCTTTCCTGAAGGCTAGCTCTCATAGCTTTGGAGAGCACTACAGGATCTTGAAAGGAAGAACGTCAATCGCTGGTCCAGCCCCAGCTTCAAAGCCTAAAACCCATACCAAGGACCAGCACAGCAAATGACACTGGTGCAGTAGTGGCAGTTTTATCTTGGGGGGTAATCAACAGCTACCTAGTTGGACTTAAAACCCACTCAATGGGAGGAAACTCATGTCTGGTACTATAAACCTGGCCAAAAACACATAGGTGGAGAGGTCATAGATCTTAGAGAATCCCAAGGCTCTCATATCCCTGGATAAATGTAATTTCTTACTATGTGCAAAATACGGACCCTTTAATTTACAGACAAGTATCCCAGTCACCACCCATCAAAGTAGCTTCTTTTTCAACTGACAGAGATTATTACAGAGTTATACCACAATGGTCACACACAGCGATTCTCTGTGAATTTTCCAAGCCTAAGTGGCACATCTAGGATGCAACCTCTACACTTAAGACTCATGGAACATATAACAAGAAGAGAGCACCAAGGCAGCTTTCAGTTCTCATCAGTGGAGCTCCCTCATGCAACAGAGAGCCAGGAACACGAAAGGTCACAAATGGCCAAAGCACAGAGACTGAAAGTCTACAGAGTGTGGCTCATTGGACAGGACTCCTATAGTAAAATCCACCCACCAGGGACCACTGCGGAAGAGGGGGCAGAAAGATAGTAAGAGCCAGGGAGGCGGTGCATGACCATACAGAAATGGTCCTACAGGCTCTTGGGACCCTTCTCATATGAGCCTACAGCAAAGGTGTCAGCGTGTACAAGACCCACACAAACTCAACCAGACAAAAACCCAGCACAGAACTGTGGAAATGGACAGCAGGCCCCAATCTTAGTCGAAGAATTATTGCCAGCTGATTACTGCTGGGTGAGGAAGAGCTGATCTTCTTGAAGGGACTCTAGATAGGCTGACTAAACCCTGGTGGATGGACTTGCACTGAGGGACATTTCAGGACACTAACTTTACATAATAGGCTTTAACACCAATGACAGACTATATGGGAGGGAGCATGAGAATGATTTTCTGTATAAAATATACAAAAATTCAATAAAAAACTAATACTTTGCTTTCCCCAGATCAAATCTTCTGTGTGTGAGTCCTCAGAGAGGAAGCCCTTCCATCTGTAAAATAGAATCCTCCAGGGCTTGTGATCATACAGTTCTGAGCATCTTTGCCCTAAGCACTCCAGGATCAGAAAGGTAACCGCAGCAGCCAGTGCCAGCCACCAATCTGGACAGAGTTGTCTATCACAGTAAAAGCTGCTTTCCTTGAAAAACAATAGAGCGAAGACCCAGGACCTCGAACCCATGCTTGCTGGGACAGTACCATCCAACCCTCGAGTAATGACTGCAATTCACAGGCACGTCTATGTATTCCTCATTCAGGGTCACTGGGACACACTATCATTTAGAGATGAAATCGAGGCTCAGTGTCTGGACATCACATCACAGGAGTCGTCGTCTCTGTGAGTCTTGCACCCAAGTCAGTGAGCCTCAGATCTGCTGGACAATCTCAAGGAGATTGAAGATGACAACTACTTCATGCAGAGACTAGATGACCCCTCAGGACCAGCTCTATTCCATGTAAGCTCTGAGAGCAGAGTGTTCTGCTGGGCCAGCACCCGAGTACCGGGGATGCATGTCATTTCCAGCTTAGACTCCTGGATGTGTTCTGACCCATGCCCCTGGGGGCAGAACCTGGGATTGCCATCTTTATGTGAAGGCTCATTTGAGGGCTGGGTGCAGAAGAGCAGCTCCACCGTTCTCAGATGGAATTCCTGCAGGGTGCCCCAGACCAGCCAGGGGCCTGCCCTAGGATTTTGCACAGGTACATGTCGTGGCATACCTGGACCATGGCCTCTGGGATTGGACAAGCCTGCACCATGTGCCCTCAGAGGGGTCCTTCCCTTCAGATCTCAGCCTCCTCCCTAAGGGAGGAGAAATCTGCTTGTCAGACTGGTAGGAAGCTGACTTGAGGTGCCTGTATTGATCACTCAATCTGCTGCCCTGTCCCCATCCCCTTGAGGACCCAGACGCAGTTGAAACACGACTTGTCCCACCTCCTGTCAGACCCTGCCCAGCACTCACCAGTTTTTCTCATACGACCAACAAGAGGGTTGCTGTGCAGAGCCCAGCACAGAGGACCTCACCAAACACACAAGACTTGAT